GCAAGATAATGCATGTAGGTTATCATAATTTGAATTATAAGTATAAATTGGATAGGAATAACCTTAACAGTGTCATGAAAGAAAGAAATCTTGGTGTAATGGTTGAACACCCTCTTAAGCCATCAAAGCAGTGTGATGTTGCTAGTGGTAGAGCAAATAATATTTTATGTTGTATCTACAGAAATACTGAATACAAGTTTAAAAAGGTTAAACTTTCATTTTACAGGTCACTGTTTAGGCCACATTTGGAGTATTGTGTTCAGTCTTGGGCTCCTTATCTTAAGAAAGACATTTCATTGCTGGAAAGGGTTCAGAGGAGGATTACTAGAATGGAGCCTGGGATGGAGGGTTTGTCATATGAAGAGAGATTAAGATCTCTGAAATTGTTTTCTCTTGAAAAAAGGAGAATTAGAGGGGATCTGACTGAGGTGTTTAAGGCTGTAAAGAGAACTGATAGTGTTGATGCATCATCTTTTTTTTCATACTTAGTGGCAAGAATAGTAGGGTTAGGGGACACAAATATAAAATTTGGCAAGGTAGGAGTCATCTTCAACTAAGACAATTTTATTTTTCTAACAGGGTGGTTGGCCTAAGGTATGGTTTGCCTTCGGATATTGTGGAGGCAGTAAATTGTTTAAGAGAAACCTTGATAACTATGTGAATGATAAGGGCTGACTTTAAGATTTTTTAAAAATTTATATATTTAATAGTTTTAGTTTAGTTAGAGGATGCGACAGCCGAGATGGACTAATAGGTCCCTTGTTGTTCCTAAATATTACGTTATGTTATTTTAACTTTCCTAAATGTATGTTGACTTCACTTTTGAATATCATAATAAAATATTTTTAATTTGATATCAAATCTCAAAATTCTAGTTATACGTGCAGTGGTCATGGTTATCATTGCTGCTAGTTGTCTGTAACATTTCAACTTTGACCAATGTAAACCTGTACCTTAATATTGCAATATTTTGTGTGTGTGTCATCTATTTCTACAAAGTAATAATTTGGTCTTCCCTCTTGAAACACCAGTGACTCACTGCCAGCTAGATCTTAATGTTCTTTTAGTTATTGGAGTTGTGATTTATCCATTCTTTACTTACGATTACTTCAAAGCCAAACTTATAAGGCTACAAACTTTTTTTATGGTTTTGATTTGTGAGTGAACATTCATTAATGTATATAACTTGTTGATAAAAACAACTCATTCCTAAGATGCACTAATAACAAAGCTGTTTCAGAGAAAGTTGCTGGGTGCTACTATAGCATGCAGTCTACACAGATACTATCATCATTGCCATTTTAACTTTCGTTTATTTGCAATTGGTGCCATTTATTATAAATAATGCTTTTAAACTAATAAAGTACAAAATACCATTACATAACATTTTGGGGGCAAATATAATCGGAATGAAACAAGTTCCAACAATCAAAGCCAACACAATTATAACCTACATTTAAGGTATTTTTTTTAGAACACACACTTTATCAAATTATTATTATTATTTGCTGAACAAAAACTTGGATAGATATAAATTACTTAGTAAGAGATTATATTTTAGTGAATCAATAAAATGGTGATGATGATAGTATCTGTGTAGGCCACACGCTACAGTAGCACTGGTTGCTGTATCTCTACTGATTACCTTACAACACAAACAACAGGTAATCTCTCTTTACCTTCTATTATTCAGTGCACTCTGGCTTAAAATATCTATTTAAACTGATAAGACAAATCAAGCATTTGTTGTTACAGAATTTGTTTGTTATTTTTTTTTATCAGTTATATAAAATTCTGCATTATCTTAAATCTAAAAAGGACACAAATGAAACAAACATTTTATTCTATGCATGATTTGATACTGATACTAAATAAACTGATTTTATTTCTATTTTAGCCATGAAAGAAACTGAAAACATACTTTTTTTTACTTTATGTTCTAGTTCCACATCTTGACCTACATGAAGTCCAGTCTCTGAAATTTTTAATTACCAATAAAAAAAAAAGTGATCAAATTGAGGAAAAGCTACTCCACTGAAATTATATATAAAAGTGTGACCAATTACAAGGAGAGGAGCCATATTATAGAAATTCAAATAACAAAAGACAATCACTCTTGATCAAACTCAAGTTGCAAAACAGCCTACAGACATTTTTAGAAGATACATAATTTAGTAAAATTTAATTCTATAATTTAACAACATAGGACTGCTGCTGCAACTACCACTACAACCACAGAAGATTTATGTCAAGAAACATTAATTCACAAATGAGAAAAACTATATAATATAAATATTAAATAATTATGACATAGAATTAATTTAAGTAACAAGTAAATGTAGACTTATTTTGAATTTGTTAACACGGAGTCACCTTACACGAGTAATCATCAAATAAATATTTTATTCCTGGAATTACATTAGTTAATCTAGTAATTAATATTATTTATTAATAATATTAAATATCTACAGTCCTCAAGTTCACATTATCAGCACTAAAAAAACAAACAAATAGTGTCAAGTTTCCATGAATCACCTAAATGAAAGTGCTTTCAACTTATCCAAGTGTCATAGAAGCTTTAATTTTTAAAAGTATAACCAAAAAATCACAAACTTACCTTCAGTGAAAAGAGTTGTAATAACAAAAAAAAGAATTTTTTTAAATAATATAACAAACAGTAGCTTCAAATATTTTGTGAATCAAAATTCATCTCTTTCAAAATCATAAATGATAAACTGAAAGAAATGGCACTGATTTTTTGTTTTCATCCTATCAAAACTTAGTGCTAATTAGGAGACCAGGATTTAGACTTTTAAAACTGTTAAAGCTGTTTTTAGGTTAAATAAGGTTCATAAAGATAATTGTTCTTAGGCATTCTAGATTGTTAACCTATCAAATAATTTTCCTGATTATGCAATACATGTCAATAGTTTGGACTGATTTAAATTTTTGTTGATTAAATATATGGATAGGAAATATATAATTTATAAAGGCTGCAATTTGGTTTTTATTGTCTTGGGATCAAAGATGAACTCCCTGACCCAGATATTTATAGTCATTTGTTTGTTCTTACCTTCTAATTTGAGTATTTACTAAATGGTCAAATACAGATTCATTTTTATAGTGTTCTACATTTTCATAAAATAAATGTATGTTTTACAAATTATGCTATAATAAAACATATTCTAGTATACTTATTTGTATTTTAGATAAAATTTTGAATGGTGAGGTTACAAAAACACACAGTCAGTATAAAAAACTATATAATCTATGAAAGCACTTACAATCTTATTACTACTCATTAGTATTAGTCACTCCCATCTTGTTTCTCCCTCCACAATTGTTCATAAAATAAATTTTATATTTTTTACCTAAATGATACAAGACTAATACTCACCTGATACTGCTGCATGCATCTTGAACAGAAACTTGAACAAATTTAGCCTAATTTAATCTTGGTTCTATCATCTATATATGGTATTTTTTTATGATGTACTGTACCTGAAAAAAAAACAAAAAAACTGTGCCTTAGATATTATTTTAAATTCATGTCACTCAAAATTATGAGAGTACTGTAAATCTCCAAGTAAACCACAAGATTTCAATGGCACTTCCTAAAGTTTTGTAGACATGAAACTGGATGCAACAAGTCAGTCAAAAGTAAAGAATACTTAGTTTATATGTAAAAATCTGAAAAAACAAAACAAAATACAATTTGTTCAAATACAATTTAATAGTTCTGATTTGAAATTTTTTATTTTTGCCTTATGTTATATATAAAATTCATTAGAATAATTTAAAAGTCTAATGGAATAATATTTTTCCCAATTTTGAAAAGTCTTTCATTTTTTTCAGTATGGTCACCCTAATAGATGCTGTGTTTCGAATTTCAGGATAATTCTGATAATGTGTGTGAGGAACTACCTTATTATTTCTTCCTCCAAATGCAAGTGTCTGTTGGTGCAATAGTTACATATATTATTATGTACACATACATTTGTATATAATAACCTAGAATTTTCCTACTTGTATATCATGCAACCATTTTGTTTAAGTTTAAACTACAGTGTATAATGTAATTTAAGTCGCATGTTATGTACAAGATATTTATTACTGATTGACTTCTGACATAGAGTACTGTTAATAATTGCAAACATATGACATCAATATATGCTGAGCTGTAGTATATAAATACTTAACTCCTAAGTTAATAGGGAAATTATCTATCATTTTTGCAGGAATATCATGCAAGTTTCAAGCTATTGGTACCTGTTTGGATTCAATATGCATCATGTAAATGTAACTTGTCCTGTATTTGTGAACTGTCTTGTGTAATTCTCTCTAGTTATTAATAAATGGTTCCCCAGATTACTCATTACTGTCATTATTGTCAATGTCTTATTCATACATGGGTAAGGAACAAGATAATCATTCATGCCACACTAAAGGTTAATTAAAAAGTGGAACATTTATTAAATTCACTCTTCCACCCAATTTTAAAGTACCCTGTTTCCAAAACAATTTTAAACTGACTTAAATCTAACAACCACACCATACTACCATTCACGCCATTCCACACATTCACAAGTGTCACATAGGATTTGATTTGTAGAGGAACAAGTCTGGGCTTAGATTCAAGTTTATACTTACTGTTGCTAATATTCCAGTTTCTATTTGCAAGTCACAACTTTATATTTTTTACCACCAATACTTCTCCCATGGTAAGGTTAATCTAAAAATAAAAAACTAAATACAATTAGTTTTGTTCTTCAACTCTTAAGAGTAAATACGCTTGAATTTGTAAGCCATGTTTAATTAAAATTCTTATATTTTAAATAGTGTGTTTTTTTTACAACCCATCTCTATTCTTTCTGGCATATTCATATTTTTCATGCGATAAGGAAACCAAAATACATAGTCACAATATCCCTTAAATTGAGCTCAAGCAATTATCATATTGTTACTACAACTCTGCTATTCTTAAAATTGAAGTTGAATTCAAAATATTCATAAATCTCTTACATGCTTTTTTTATGGGTTTTACCAAATCTCAACACATGTATAAAGGATTCAAACTTTGAATCCTCTTAACTCTTTCTGTTTGTCCAAAACTTCATTTCAGTGATCTCCTCAAACAAGTGGTCATTTAACTTTTACTTCAAGTTTAAAAGTTCCATACTCAATCACGCGCATCACATGAATAAGATTCTCAATATTGCAATTGAAAATTGAAGCTCATCTTCCACATTCTATTTCAATTTCTTGCCTATACCCTATACGCTAAAAATTTTCAAGCTCTTATACTTACAATAAATTCAAATGATTCAGGAGATATTAGATTTTCTGTAATGTTTGAATGATTCTTACAAGTTACGTTTCTCTCAAGGCTGTGCTGTAAAATACACTGTATTGTAATTGTATTGTTTCTCAACAAAGCAATAGTGTACAGCAAGCAAGCCTAACCAAGAAGTACTGCTCAAATGTCGCTTGACAAAATTTCTAATTTACAAATTACATGCAAATCTCAATATTATTGCGTCAAATAATAAATAACATATCAGTCTACATAGTTTTAATCTTTAGAGTTATTGAAATAAAAATTCAAAATTTCACTTTCAGCATGTACCTACCACACACTCACAGAATAACGAATAGATTTAAAGTCACATCTCACCGCATCGCCAAAATATCTGTAAAAAAATTAATATTTTAATATTTCAGTCTTCATCGATCTCCAACATACTGATGTATCAGTTACAAAATAGTCTTCATTTTCTATAATTGTTACTAGTTTCACACATTATATTTCTTTCATACAATTCGTTTAATTTTATTTTTTTTACATGTTAGGTTTTTGTATAATATCAGAAAGCGTGCCAAGCATCCTTTCTTGAACAGCTTGATTTGGTTTGAACTTAATGCAATGGGCTATCTCTACCATGCTCACCCTCACCAAGGGTATCGAACACCATTTTTTTAGAATTTTAAGTCTTCAGACATACCGCTGAATAACTGGGGAGGGGGCTTCTTTAACAGAAGTAAGGACAAAGCCGGTCAAACGATATGAACCTGGGGCAAATTTTAATAGAAGGTGAGTCCTCAGAAGTGAACTTCATAAATAAGTCAAGTATAATTTGTACTGTTGTTACGACAGCGGAAATCACGTGACTCTAATAACACGTGATGAATTTCTCAAATGATCATAAATTATCGGGTAAGCCCGAGTTTGATCGAAGCGCCCTCTTTTTTTTAGCATATAAGCCTGGAGGATGAATGTATGATAAAGCGAACAGTAGTTTCGGGCGAAGTTATCGAGATTGTGAATCGCTGTGGTTTATAGCGTATATTATAAAAGTCGTTAAGTTTAAAGTGACAAGAGACGTATTGACTGTGGAATTACTATGTACTAAA